TACAGTACATACCTGGTCAATAAAAAACAAAAACAATGAACATGTGCCTCTGCATCACTCACAGCCCAAACTACAAAGACATAAAAACATAAAGTGACCTCTTCCCTGACACGGGTTTTCAAAGGGAAGAGGCAGCGGGAAAACACAGAATTTACAGTGGGGCAACGGGGGACACACGAAGAAGAAATATAAACACGGGAGTGGCTGGAGGACCAAAGCTGCACAACCAATCAAAGACCAGGACCAAAAACAATTATAACAAAAATAAAACTTGTAATAAAAATACAGTAATAACTGTGTAAAGTTTTGAGAGAGGTCACTAAAATTTACTTTGCTACACAGGGACTGGCCTCCTGCTGGGACTCTGAGGAGCACAGGGACTGGCCTCCTGCTGGGACTCTGAGGAGCACAGGGACTGGCCTCCTGCTGGGACTCTGAGGAGCACAGGGACTGGCCTCCTGCTGGGACTCTGAGGAGCACAGGGACTGGACTCCTGCTGGGACTCTGAGGAGCACAGGGACTGGCCTCCTGCTGGGACTCTGAGGAGCACAGGGACTGGCCTCCTGCTGGGACTCTGAGGAGCACAGGGACTGGCCTCCTGCTGGGACTCTGAGGAGCACAGGGACTGGCCTCCTGCTGGGACTCTGAGGAGCACAGGGACTGGCCTCCTGCTGGGACTCTGAGGAGCACAGGGACTGGCCTCCTGCTGGGACTCTGAGGAGCACAGGGACTGGCCTCCTGCTGGGACTCTGAAGAGCACAGGGACTGGCCTCCTGCTGGGACTCTGAGGAGCACAGGGACTGGCCTCCTGCTGGGACTCTGAGGAGCACAGGGACTGGCACTGCATGAAAAGTGTGATTTTCGTCTCTTTTCGGCCCTGTATATTACTGTGAAACTTCTGGGATTCGGTAGTTTGTTGTCCCCTCCTCCCTCCTCCACAGGAGGCTTTAACATGTAAATGGCAATGCTGTGAGCTATACAAATGCTAATCAGGGTTGAGGGGGAGCACACCGTAGACCCGGATTTTGTAAATGCTCAAAACACACACACACACACACACACACACACATATTTGATCATGATTGATTATAGCTTGTCATGTCAAAATCAATTAAATAAATCTAATAGGACAAAAGACATGTTGAAAGTGTAAGTGCTCATCTCATGTATGTACAGTACAGACCAAAAGTTTGGATTTTTTATTTTTATTCATGACATGAAAGATGTGTTCTATTCTCGGTTCAAAATTATATATATATATATATATATATATATATATATATATATATATATATATATATATATACTAGGGCTGTCAAACGATTCATTTTTTTAAGTTGATTAATCGCATAGTAATGGTGAGTTAACTCACGATTAATCGCATGTTTAACATTCTATTTCAAATCCACTCCAATTGAAGTTAAATGAGATTATCAAATATAATTACCAGTGTTGGGTAAGTTACTTTGAAAAAGTAATTAGTTATTGTTACTAGTTACTAGTTACTTCTACCAAAAAGTAATTGACTCACTAACTGAGTTACTCCACTATAAAAGTAACTAGTTAGCAGTAAAAGTAACTATTGCGTTACTTTTTCGTTTGTCGTGGTACCGAGCTTTAGCTGGCTGTAATTTAGGATAACTTCTAAGTAGATTAATTGTTGCAACAACCCCACCCTATTTTAGTATGATATGTTAGTTTAGGGAACTGTCCTGCAGGCAAACAGGTATAAGACAGGCCAAGGTGCCATTTAATTAAATTGCATTTATTTTTATCCATTGATCAAACAAACAGATTACAAAACTTGCAATTGAAAGAGACTATTTTAAAATAATTAGTTCCCAAAGACACACACGAGCAACACTCACGCCTGACAGTCAAGAACCAGGGAGAATACAGTGCGCAGAGCGCGCCTGACAGACAAGAACCAGGGAGAATACAGTGCGCAGAGCGCTGAGTATGTGAACGGAGCAATCGCTTGCTGCTGTTATTATAATAGCTAGATCCATGTTTGCAGCCCGTGCAAAGCTTGCACTCACTCACAGCCGCTAACAACAACCAGAGCGGCCACGGAGGAGGCCATCTCACAGCAGCATTCTGAGTGATATTCTTATGGATAAATGGGCGGGTATTTAAAAAAAATAACGCGTACTCGGGTCGCTTTCTCGCGCGCTGTTTAAGCGGAAGTGACGCAATGCGCGTGCCCGTTCACTGTTTTGGCTCCATATGTTCCCTCGCGTTCAGTGGATCCGTCCCGTCTCCGTATCACGCGTATTTGAAGATGGATCCAGCAGTTTCTCTAAGAGACCAGCTTCAGAATCACCGTCTGGAACTCCACGCCAAGCGAAGAGAAAAAAGATTGTCACTAGTGCTACGAAAAGAGCGAAGCGAGAGGCCGACCGGCGGAGAGCTCAGACCCGAGTCGCTCTCGGCCATGCGTGTCTCCGAAACGCTCTGGGGATAAAAAATGATCCTCATTTGGCGTTTATCTTGATTAGAAGGTAAGACGGTGACTCAGTTCTAAACGTCCTAGTGTCTTTGAATACGAAGAGATATAGCATTATTGTGTGTTAGCTTTTTGACTTAGCAACATGGACTGATTCCATTTGGTTCGGTTTTTTTCTGAACAGTAACAGATTGGCGAGACACATTCAGCATTTTGTTTGTTCTGTATGAAGAATGTCTAGAAATAATGACTGTTACGTTGATTAGTGCTTTTGAATGAACGTTAGCATGTGTTAGCTTAGTACAGCTGTGTACATTATTGGGCTGCTACTGTGCATGTAAACCATTATGAAACTTGCAGATGCAGTGATTATGTACCTCAGTACCTGTACTATATGTATCGTAGAATTGCAGACTATATTAGTAATATAATGTGGTTAGTCCAACTGTAATACAATGAGATGCATGTGTGTATAGGTAACGTGTATTTATTTACTTTATAGCTATGAAAAAATTATGGCATCAAGGAGTCCCAAGGCCTCAACTCCTAAAACCACTACTGCGACTGGTGATCTCCCGAGTTCAATCAGTCCCGTAGAATCTGACCGGTACTTTTTTTTCCCAGAAAAATGGGATTGGCATTATGTTTGATTCAAGCCTTATTGACAATTTCACTGAAACAAACTTTATTTTTTAACAGGGATGACTTATCTGTGGCAGGGGTGCAGCCTTTTATAGAGGAGAAAGAGCTGGAGGTTTTGAAGAAAAGGTAGACATGCATTCACATTAAGATGTACATTGTATTCTCATTTCTAGGTCGTTTATTTATATGATTTATTGTTTTTTGTAGACATTCAGATCTTTGGTTAAACGGGCAAACAATCTAGAAGACAGTGTGTAAGTTACTTAACATGTTTAAAAATAAATATTTTGTTGATTGTTTTAAAATATGACCTGTTTACTTTCACAAGATTGAGTTTGATGAAGATTTGGCCTCAGATCCATTAGATTCGGAATATGTCCCACCTATATCTTTGAGGTTTTTTTTTATTAAATGTTCTGTCCTGAAAATAATGGAAGTCCTTCCCTAATTGTTTTTTGAAAAAGCATCAAATTGTTCTTGTTTTCAGTGCTGGTGTTGCAATTCAAAGAGAAGTTGACAATCTTCCCATCCTCGGCATAGAAGAAGCTGTGTTGGACATCTGTGACCCAGAAAATCCCGGAGAACCAGAGGACTTTGAGGATCAGTCTGAGCAGGACATATCAACATTCCCAAAGCCAATTCGTGTGGTTGCTGAAACTGACCTAGTGCACCAACAAGCATGCATAGCGTATACTATTAGCTTGCTGCAAATGGCTAATTTTCTGCAACTGCCCATCAACAAATGCCATTACAGCGATCCGGTTTCTGGTATTGAGTGTGACGGTCGGCCTCCATTTTCGATTCAATCACGTTCTAGGGGCACATCAATCATATTGGAATGGGTGAGTGAATGCTGAAATTAGAGATTGGTATTTAGGGTAGGCAAAATGTGTAGTTATACATTTAGTAAAAGTTATTTGTTTCTTTCTCCATAGTTCTGCTCTTATGGACACAAGTTATGGATGTGGAACAGTCAACCTGTACTTCGACATGGGATGCAAGGAGGCGATTTTATGTTATCTGCCAACTTATTACTGAGTGGTAATAATTTTGCTAAGATTGCCCTCCTCTTCAAATTTATGAATATGAAGATGGTTTGAACAACAACTTATTACAAAATTCAACACTCCTACTGCGTACCTGAAATAAAGGCATTTTGGGAGCAGAAGAGGTTGTCTATTGTAACTCGATTAAAGTCAAAAGATGGCATTGTGGCCCTTGGTAAGTAATGTGTTAAAGGACAATCTTTGTCGTATTTGCAGTCACTATAAGTACTATATCTGTTACAGCTGACGGGAGAATGGACTCACCAGGTAAGTCTGAAGCCTTTCACTTTACAACATAGTTATTGTGTATTACTTTGTGTTTCACCATATTTGATTCAACAAGGTCATTCTGCAACGTTTTGCACATATACAACGATGGAACTTGACAATATGAACATCATCAGTGTTGTCAATGTTGATAAAAGGCAAGTTGGTGGAAAAAGTGTCTCTATGGAGAAGGCAGCGTTCATCAAAACATTTGATGATCTCACGAAAGAATTAAAAGTCAAAGATTGTGACTGACGCCCATGTGCAAATTGCAGCCCTCATGCGTAAGTATTTTTGTCTGTATTATTTGATGTGCTATATTTTGTGCTTACTGCATTTTTGAGCTTTAAAATAGATCCAGAACGGGGAAGATATATGGATCATGGAGTTAACCATTCCCTGGATGTCTGGCATGCTGAAAAAAATCTAACTAAGAGGCTTCATGCTGTAAGTGATAGTTCATATCGTTTCTCATTCAATTATTTTTTATAGACATAACCAAAACTAATAACTTTGATAGGCGGGTGTCCTAGCAGGTCAAAAACAAATCCTTGGGTGGATCAAGGACATTGTTAACCATTTTTGGTATGCCTGTCAGCATGCAAGCAGCCGAGAAGAGTTCATGGTAAGTAAAGTAGAACTAGAATTTATCTTCTCATTTTCACTATACCTTTTCAGTTTCTTATGTTTGCTTATTAGGACATTTGGCGAGGTGTACTGCACCATGTTAGTGGCGTGCATGAGTGGGACCTGGGTAGATGCCTTCATGGTCCTTTGGGGGATGATGGCACTAAAGAGCCTGTACCAACTGGCTCTAAAGCACATGTGGCACTGTCACAGATCGTGCTGAGCCGCAGATGGCTGAAGGATGTGGAGAAGTTCCTCACATTTCGGTAAGAGATTAGTTTTTGTTTTTTTGAATGATTTGTGTTTCTTCTATTTCCTACTTACTTTCCCTGTAGGACCACCTCACAGCTGGAATCATTCCAAAACCATATTCTGATGTATGCCGGAAAGCGGTTTGCTTTTTCATTTTTTGTTTATGAAGCAAGAACACTTCTCGCAGCTTTGGACTACAATCACCACAACAGCCGTCCGGCACATGTGAACAGCAAAGGCCAAGTGTCGTAAGTATCATTCACTACTTCCTATTGACAAGTCATAAATATAGTTGTCTTCTAACGTGAAATTACTTATCTTGTAGCCTAAAGAGACTGTACAGCAAAAAATCGAAACGGTATCGGGTACACACTGTCAAAGAAGCAAAGGATTACAACTACATTCCTGACCTTCAGACACAAATCATTGGCAGACGACTTCAGTCTGCTGGTGGCCTCCCAACCAGACGGAGGATCATACCGGAGGACCCACGAGCACTTTGACCAGTATATACACAAACGGTTGTTGGTGTTATCATCACTCTCTTTACACAACCAAAACATATATGTGATATATATATCACATATATATGTGATTGCTCCGTGTGTGATAACTTTCTGTAAAGCATGGAACTGCTGCAGGAGCAGGGACGAGGCGCACAGAGCAGACTGCTTCGAAAGAACCGAAGGAAAAGCAGTTTGGGCTCATGGCAGAGCCTGATATACAGGAGACTGTGGAATATCTAACATATATCATTTGTTTTGCACTGTTCCTGTCTTTGTTTGAGCGCTAAGACTTTCACTTTTATTACTGTACTTTTTCATCTCATTTGTCACTGTTGTCTTTCTGTTCATTTTTTTTTTATTTTTTTATTAAGTCCATTGCTTAATAATGTTATTGAGTGAATCTAGACCTCCTTTAAACACATTTGAGCAAAAATCATGTGATATTGTTTTATATATATATTGATTATTCTTTTTTTGCTTACAGCGTGTTGCAGTCCGACAACAAGAAATAGTCAATTCTGTCCCACCTGTGGAAAATGTCAAAGCGCGCTGGCCAGCACTTTATACAGAGAGACAGGTGTGTACATATTTTTTACATCTATGCATTTAACTTGAAGTGTTTTATGTTGTTTTTTTTTAGGTCCTGGCAGAATTGAACCAGATCACCAGCTCCAAACTGGGCAATGATTTCGTTGAAGCATTGGATTGCCTAACGACACAGTTCATCAAGCTCTTTAAGGCCAAAAGGGGGTCTGCTGGCGCTAAGCTTTCCAAGATTGTCCGGCACCTCGATTCCTGTGTAAGTTCATAAAGCAATAACAAAAAGAAATGACATATGATTGTGTTTGGTGTTGAAATGCACATATGTGCAGCAGAGGAGATGGAGAAAGGAGAAAGGTACACATCAAAAGAGGTACTGCTGCATTTTGTATCCTAAGATTTTTGGTACAATTGTAGATTGTCATTTTACATTTTTCACGTGTTTGTAGATGGTGGAACTGCAGGAAAACCCTGGTGACCGAGAGATCCTTAAAGATTATAATTCTGTGAGATCACTAAGTCACCGCTCTCGAAGACAACTTGTCGACCTTCTCGTCAGTGACATGAGTGAAACACATGGGTATGTTGTATCAGTTAATACTCAAAAGTTCCTTCTTACAAGTGGAAGGATATTTACTCAAAATAAAATGAAAATCACTTGAAAGACCTTTCACAATAATCACATAACAATTCAGTTTCTCTCAGCACTGTTATTGATTCCCCATGTTAGGATTCAGGCAGACAGAGACGGATCGTGGTGTGCCAAACTCTGGAAGTTTATTTAAGTTTCTCTCAAGTTCCACTGGTTTCCTCTGTTTCTTTCTCTCAGACAGAATAAAGGCAGTACACAGTTTATATAGTCATTGTCACGTCACACATCGAAAGACATACGTGTCACAAAGAGACAGTCAAATCATAGTCATAACATGGAGTCCTTGTAGAGTCCTTGTACAGTCCTGCACGTAGGCCATATTGCTATCTAATACTAACAGCCTCCCCTTTGATCACATAATCACATGTGATCACTCAATTGGATCAATCAATAAAATGGAAAAAGAAAAAAAAAAAAAAAAAAATCCAAAAAAAAACTTTACAAAATTATTAAAACTCATAATCATCAAATCAATATCAGTGGATTTTATCCTCTATCCTGGGAAAAAACAAACAAACAAAAACAAACAAACAAATCAAAAATAAAAACAAACAAAAATAAAAAACAAACAAACACTATTGGACACACAAGAACTCAGCAGATTCAGTCAAAACACAGACAAAAACGAGCTGAGTCTCAAATTTGAAGCTAATTTCACTTTTATTACTCTATACTTTTATTCTAATGCTAATTGTTTACACTACACTTCACTTATTTCACTGTATTATTTTCACTTTTTAATCTTAGACTGTGTACTTTACTCTCTATTCACTATAGTTTAAAACTATTCTAATCTATTTACAAATATGTTTGCATATTTGCTTCGAGCCATATTCTTAAACATACATTTTAATCTAATAAATCTCTCTGTTCTGTGGTTTACTTTCATTATCAGTGGGATTTTGCTCCATGTCTATTCTCATTCTCAGGAATAAAACTGTGAACACAGTAAGGCAAATGGTCAACATTTACACTTCTATAGTGGTCAGTGATTTATTACTTTTTATTATCTAAAGATATTATTGTCAGGCAGTTTGGGATGAATGTACATCTTTAATCAAATTAGAACTATCCTTACAAGAGCTAATCTATTTTAGCAGGTTTGGGGTTGGGGTCAGTTATTCTACAATGGTGTTTGTGCTGGAAACTTCTCAATATCTAAATATCTACTATTGTGTTTTTGTGCTATACACAAATACATCAAAATGCTTTTAAATGCTTTTGAATCTCTGTTGGTTGTAATCTCTCATTGATCTAGGCATTAATCTAGGCTACACTCATATGAACTTTTGCATTGTCAACATTCACTCATGTTTGAACACAAGTGAATTTGGCAAGTATCTAATAAAACTGTACATAAACTGTAATTAACTTTATCTACTTTTGAAGTAAATGTTTGTGAAATTGTCCCTTTACCATTTGATATTAGCACTGGCTACAAATAATCTCTATTTTTGAAAGAATCTATGGTTGATGCATTTATCTATTTCTATTTTTACTCTATTTTTTAACTCCAAAGCTCGGCTGCAGCTTGAGCAAAGGCATATTTCTAGTTTGTGACTTCTGTCACTTTCAATGGCTGTAACATAACTCTGATTCTAATATTATAGCTGATCTATCAAAAGGATAACATTGTAGGGTACTATTTTAACTCTTATGTGGAAATGTGTTTATGAAAAACAAAGGAAGTCAAATTCTACTCTTTCTACTACTACTAAAAACGCTACAATACTTATACTTTATCATTTTCAAAGTTTTTGTCTGTCAGATGTCTGAATACTTAACATGTATATTGCATTTGTCACAGTTGTGGTTCTGGTTGTAGCAATAGCATCGGCAATAGACGTTTTTCATTGGCTGGTTCTTGTTCCGCAAATGGCTGTGTCCAATAGATCATCAGATGTCCAGAAGCTAGGGACAAACAAAAACAAAAGAAAGAATCATGAGTATCTCTCTCATTTAGCACTCATCAATGTATGATTTCAAAAATATAAACATCACTCCCCAGTTTCTCTCCAAGGTCCTCAGGTCCTCAGGTCCTCAGATCCTCAGGTCCTCAGGGTCCCCTGAGGGTGAGTCTCAGTCGTCATCAGGTCAGGTCATATTTCCAGAGATGTTATCTTGGACATCAGAAGGGTCCAAGCCATGGTTCTGGTCACTCCAGATGCACATCAGATCTCCAGATACAGTCTTTTCAGTTGAAGCACATCAGGTCATTTGCGATGCACTTCTGGTCAATGGTGCAGTGTCTCAGTTCCTGTACACAGCTTGTTATGCAGTAGTTACTCTCTATGGTTAAGTCACTTTGATTCTACTTTAAAGACAATTTCTATTCATGCTGTTGCTAATGTCCCTTAGACAAAAGCAAGCGCAGTTTACTTCTCTAATTTGTATTTTTATCATATCTAATACTAATCAATGTAATTACTTCACACAGTACAAAATCAACAAATCAAAAGTGTCAGGACAGAGGTCAATTAAGTCCATGACAATATAGAATTCAAATGAACATTTCTGGTCCCAAAAAATACTGATTCAACTAAAGATTCAAGTGATAGACAATTAAAAATATGTGTTTACATTGGAGTAAACTTTTAAAATGCTTTTTTCTCATGTTCTGCTTTTTCATGTATCTATATGTAAATGTGAATGTGTGAGTGTATGTGTGTGTGTGTATGTGAATTTTGGGGTTGTGTGTCCAGACTCCACGAACCACCTGTAGGTGTCAAAGGTCACACTGTGGTGATGCAAACCACGTAGACACACTTTCAACTCCCTCTAGGTCTCTACCTGACGCTCCACCCATCACTGCCTCCAGAAACCTCCACTTTTCATGGCCCCGGTCTCACTCCCACTTACTTCTGTAGTGGGGGGAGGGGCGTAGAGGTGGCATTGTATCCCTTTGCTCTTAGCTCTGTGGCCTGTGGCTGGGTGGGCGTTGCGCTGTCCAGTGTCCAGCAGTCCAGTGACCCTGTACAGTGTGTGCTCTTGGTTCTGGAAAACAACCTTATAGTCAAATTAAAAACAACAGAGATTCAGAATCAGAATCAGAATCATTTTTATTGCCAACGTAAGTAACGGGAGGTCACAGACTTGGAAATTGCTTTGGCTCAGTGCAACAATCTTGCAACAGTCAAGATTGTGAATGAGATTGTTTTTCTCTCTGAAGTCTAAACAATTTTGAAGCGCTCTTGGCTTTCCCAAGCGCTATGTAAATAAAGATTACTTATTATCTTACTAATGATGACATTTGAAGACCAGAAACTAAAGAAGTTATCAAAACAACAATTATACTCAAAACAAACAACCTTTTAAACTTTAAAACATGTATTATATACTTTTGTACTGTGTGATTAATTATCTATGCGTCCTTGGGTTTCTTGAAAGACGCCATGAAATGAAATTATGAAAAATCTCTATAAAAATGAACATTCATTTGTAAAAACATTTAAAACAAAACTTGAAATCAAACAAAAGATTTAGCTCCAGCTAAACTGGATTTGGTTCAATAAAACTCAATTGTGCGTCGGAGCTGCCTCCTCATGTCTCTGAGCAGCAGCAAGGTCACGCGTGTAGTCAAAACAAAAACAAAAGTCACCACTTGCATGTGAATTGGGCAGTTTAACTTAATAATATAATACTTTTACAGCCTAATTCCCTCTTTCTTTTTTAGACGAAGTCTACAATCAGTAATCACTTTTAACAGATTCTATTTTAAATGTTTGAAAAACGGCTTTTGTAACTAAAATAAAAAATACATGAAAAAATTCTCACAAACAGCTATGAAATATATCAGAGATACAATAATGGACTCACAAAATAAGCAGCAGATTTAAAAAGAAAAGCAAAGCTTTTTGTACTAATCTTTGGGTTTCAAAAACATACTAATTCAAAACTTCTATTCCCTAATGGTGTTTAAAAACGTTTAACTGTGTCTAACACAATGTTCAAATGGCAAATTTAGCAAATTTAACGGAATAACAACTATGAAAAGCCAAAAGTCCTAAAGCAGTAGCTTTGCTTCAGATTCACAGCCAGAGCAGCGAAGGAGGGGGCCGTTTCCCTGACAACGGCAGCAAGATAGAGATGTGCACACACAGGCAAAAAGATACAGAAGAATAACTTTCAAGATTACTTTGTTAAGCGAATATAACTGATGTTGTTCTTTAAACTTTTGTCATTTATCAGCCTGAAATTCGTCAATTTCAAAGCTTTTGTAACAAAGGCCTCCTTAACACGTTTCCCTTTTTATAAATTGCTTTTATTATTACACCATGGTTTCACTTATGGATCCTCACTTTAATGGCCAACACTTTTCACTTTATGGATCCTCACTTTAATGGCCAACACTTTTAATGGCCAACACTTTTCACTTTATGGATCCTATTCACTTTAATGGCCAACACTTATTTGAACACAATTTAGAGAGTTCGACAGACCTCAAAAACACACCCAAATTTAGCTAGTATCCAATTATGCAGACTTTACATTTAAAAAGGTGTCTGCTTACCTTATTCTTGTCAAAGAGGTGCGCACGGGCTGTCCAAGAGGTCTGCCAACTCTTTTCCGCGTCGGAATCTTCAATTTAAACACAAAACAGAGAAAGTGAGGGAGCAAGAGCAAGCCCATCCAAAAGCGAGCCCTTTCAGCGTCCGCTGGGATTTCTCCCCTTCCAGATAACGTGCTGTCGCTCCCACACGCCGAAAAAAAGAAACAGAGAAAACTCCCTCAAAACAATCCAGAGAATGGCACAAACCGAGCCGCGCATTCTCCACCAAATCTGTTAGGATTTAGGCAGAGAGAGACGGATCGTGGTGTGCCAAACT